GGGCACAGGTTAAAATTGTAGGAGGCCTGGGGGTAGAACTAAACGTTAGGGCAGATACTTGAATATGAAAATCCCCCCGCCCCCTCCCTTCATTCCTTTGGGCTGGACTGATTCTAAGTCCATTAAAACCCACAGTGACAATAAAAAAAAGACTGAAATAATTTTGCAATGTTGTTGTATTTCTTAGTTAGATCTAAGGAACTAGTCCACTACATAAAGATATATTGTTACCAGCAATACATGATTCTATTACAAGGTTATTGGCTTTTTCCATGTAGTCACTCCAACCTGCATCACTGGCAGGGGAAAACTGGGTTGAAAAATCCGAAGGTATCATCTTGACCTATGCCGGAATTGAACTCTGGACCTTCGGGTTAGCGAGCATGCGTCTAACTCTCTGAGCCACCGCGGCTCCCTTTAATATCATTCTAGAGCTAATATCCTATGACAATATTGACTAGATATGTACATATATATCTAAAATTCTAGAGTTTCGCTGGACTAAACATTTCCAATCATTATATTTGGTACATGGTTTACGTCTCAAAATATTTCCATCAGAACCACATAGAACCAAAAAAGATGGGTTCCCTTATTTTTATTTATGAAAATGAAAATGCTAATACTTATATGAATAGAAAGTAGAGGTGTTCTAATGACTTGCAAAAATGGACATTTATGATTGGTTAAAACTCTTAATTATATGCAATAAGAACATAATGATATGATTAAGAATACATGATAATTCATTAGAAACACCAATTAATCAAATAGTTTGCTTAACTTGACACAAAAAAAAAGGGAAACCCATCTTTAAGACCAATGCAAATGACACAGTCTAATTCAAAACATACAATCCAACAACATATTCAGTGAATTTGCTTTATTGAGTTTTTGCCCTCACTCTGGAGTGAAAATCTTGTAAATGTAATCTGCATTTCCAAACTAGCTTTACCGTTTACCTCTTAGGGAAATACAAAATGGCCACTTCGCAGTCTAATTTACAATAGACCAAACTTTCGTTCCATTATTTATAAGCTTTTATTTTTAATATAGCCACTTTAGTTAGGGTCTAATGACGGCCATCTTGAACCTTCCTCAGATCAACCTTTTGACAAACACAGTGTCACAAAATGACAGTGCTGGAGAGCATAGAAATTTGATTGGTTGACACAGACGGCATTGTGTTAGGTCAAAAGGTTAATTTGACAAATGTTTAAGAGGGCTGTCATTCGACCCTAACTGAAGTGGCTATATTAAAATACAAGCTAATAAAAAAAAAACGAACGAAAGTTTGGTCTAAGTCTGGCCACTTAAAAAATTATGAATTTGCTACCATTGCACTGTATTTTAAGAGCTATAACTCGCTAAATTTGGTCTGGTTGTCATAGTAACATAGTAAATACATATTAACAACAATAAATTAGTACCCAGTCAGCAAGTTAAGGTCAATTCTAATCTAAAACCGTCATTATTTGAGTTCTAGCGTCTGCCACAAGTCATCCTCTTCCTTGGCCCATTTTTCCATATCATCCACTTCCACATTGGCGGCTTTCACAGTTTTGTCTTTTTTGCCCGTAACAGGCATCCCCCAATCATCGAAGTCTGACACATAACTCTGATTGGAAGAAGAGGTCTTGCTTTCTGATTTCCCACTGTTTAATTTCTCAAACGGATCAAATTCATTCACAAAAGAGTCATTGGAATTGCCTCTCTGAGCAGCAGTAGCCTTTTTGGAGGATTTCTTAGCCTTCGGCTTCTTGGCTGGTTCATCATCAGAATTAAGCCATGCTTCAAGATCATCACCATCATTTCTATCATCCGTGGAATACTTATCGCTTGAGCTGCCCCAATCATCATTTCCCCAACCATCTCCTCCGTCATCGAACTGTCCACTGTCATCGCGACTCATCATCAAATCTGCCTTCTGTTCCCTATCCAAACTCTGACCACTCTTGGATCTGATCAAATTATCATTTTCATTCTTCTCTGGCAGCTTGCCTTCGTTCCAAAACGTTGATATATTGGTCCATCCAGCAGTACTAGCAGCTCCTATTTTAGTTTTGGCTGGCTTGACCACATTTTGGTTCAGCTGGACTCCAACTTCTTTGGTCTTCTTGGTGGCGACATCAGCAAACTGACTGACTTTCTCTGTAGCAGTGGAAGCAAATTTTGTGGCTCCCAAAGCAAACGAAGACCATCGTGATGAAAGTGATGCCATCGTATTCTCAAACAAGTCGTTCTTTTCGGATTTGTTTTCAAATGGCTCGTTTCCAAATCCGACGTACTTTCCACCTTGATTTGGTGGTAGAGAATCTCTGTCCGTATCCACACGGTCGTGATATGAACTGCTATTGTCTAAATAATCTATTGATTTGTCACTGGTACTTGTTTTTAAATTCGCATATCCTCCATATCCTCCAGAGAAACTTTTAGGAACAGACGACGTTTCTTCAGACCAGGTCTTTCCTTCAGCTTCGCAGGCTATCTTGTCTTTATACAAGGCAGCAGCTCGAGAGTTGTATTTTTGATGAATGTTCATTCCACTGTTGTAGTCAGACTGTGAGTCGAAGAAATCTTTGGCCTTTCTGTTTCCTCCAACTTCCATCTTGCGTAGTTCTGCGTCTTTCCATTTGTCCATTGAAACGGATCTGACAAAACTCAAATGGACTCCAAGACTTCTGTGCTTTCCAGAGCACTCCAAACATATCCAAATTCCATACGTTACACTGACCCATTGTGGATTGTGACCATTACACTCGAAACATCTGTCGTTATCAGCCCCACCCTTTAATTCTTTTAGTTTTCGACGTGTACGAGGACTTGCCATGCTGTAGTTCTATAAATAGATTTTTGACAGGTGGTTTTTGGCGAAGAAAACAAGTTTTCAAGCCGATTTCGTCGCTGCTGATATTAATTTCTTGATTTCCAGAAGCTGTTCGATGTCCCTGTCGATTTCCACTTACTAAATTATGTGAAAAGTGGTTTAAAATCGTAAGAAAACGTCCACAGACATTAGAGTAAATAAATTATGAATGCGACGTCAACAACCGGAAGTAGAATTATCTATAAGAGTTGTCTGATCTTGGATTAGGAATCAGACCACAACTCTTTATGGTTATAAGTGGTTCTTTTTTTTTTGTCCTGCATTTCGTCGTCTGTCTAGCATTCCCCTGCCTGTCTTGCATTCCCTTGCCTGTCTCTCATGCCCTTCACTTGTATGTCTTACAATCTGTCGCCAGTCTTGCATGCTCTTCCCTTGCCTGTCCTGCATCCCCTTGTCTATCTAGCATTCCCTTGCCTGTCTTGCATTCCCTTCCCTTGCATGTTCTCCATTCCCTTGGCTGTCTTGCATTCCCTTGTCTGTCTTGCAATCCCCTGCCTGTCTAATTAGACCAATCGGATGCAGAAAAGAAGGGTGTACTTCAAAATCAAGACATTAAAGTTGGGTTGGTCTCAAAATTGCTTGACTAAATTTCATAATAACAAAAATTTTATTTAGAGAATAATTTTAGCACTAAAGTCATCCATATTTACAAATCATTTACAAACA